CCATCCGGGCCTTAACGGAAGACTTCAGCGTTGAACACTGTTTATTAGTTAGTGACATCACTTGTTACTGTTACTAGCCGTGTGAAACACAACTCCAGTAACAGTACCAACCTCTAGTTACCAAATCTAAAATGCACTAGAAATCACTATTACTGGACTTGTACTGTTCCCTGGCGGAACACACCCGAAGCCTTTCCATAAGCGGTGACTAGTAGTTGGCACCACATAATTGAAAATTCATTAGTTTTTTTATTTAGATCAATAGTAGGTCCTTTGTACATCATTGTAATACCACTAAAAAATTTTGTAGACCCTTCATTATTTTTTAATTAATTATACAAAATAATGATCGGAAGTTAGCACCCCACCCCACTAATTTTTATTTGTAGACTGAAATAATATTAACCAATGCAAAGCAAATCGTTTGTAGATAATAAATAAATTGGTATCATCCTTCTACACCTGATTGTTCATTAGATATTAATTAAATTAAAAAGTGGTCTGTAGTGTTTACATCGGCGCATGCGCAGACACGTACCCTCGCACAGTTTGGCACCATGCACTTGCAAGCAATATCGTTCTTTAATTAACGTTTCAAACTTTTTTCTTGGTAAATATTTAGGTAGTAAATTGGTGAAATTTAGGAAAACATGATTAGAATTTGGGACTAATTAGTTTTCGTTTAATTTTTTTTTCTTTTTTGTCAATAATAATGAGCAGAAGTTATTCATAAAAAAATCAAAAATAATTGGAATCACAATCACTTTAAAATGCATCTTCTACATGGATAGTTTTTAAAACAACCAAGTTGAAATTATAGAAAAATAATTGGTTAAAATTACAGAACGAAACTAGGAAATAGAAAATACAAGTGTTCCAATCCAAAATTAAATTGTCTTTCGTAATGGAATATACCAAAATTTCAAAGTTGGAGTTAAACAATTAACTTTGTACCCTCATTGGCGATGCCCGTTCAAAAAACACAATGAAAAGTCACTTATTAAAAGGTAATTAACGATCGCACGTAATTAAAGAGAAATGAATGCAAAATCAAGCGAATGTCAAATCAGAATGAAATATCAATTTTTAACACGTTCAAATATCTCATTTTTAGAATCTCCCTTACATTACACAGCTCACTTTTTTATAACTGAGTGAAATAAGACATCAAATATTTAGGTTGTTGAAATAGTCAACATTCAAGGCCGAATATCTGCGTGAAAGTTCAAGACGGTTTATTTATACATTTTTATAAATAATGTTACATTTTAATACACATTTGCTTGTCCCTACATCTATTCTTTCCTAATTACATGAGAGTGTAGCTAGTTATCTTCATCAATTAATGGAATGATGAATTCTAATTCATTTGAATTTTCTTAACGAATGTCGATAATGAAGAAAAGTACGGCCACATCATTCATGGCCACATCATTCATGGGAGTCCACGCATGCGCAGATGGACACATTGTCATTGATATAATTAATTAATTAGTATTTAAAGAACAATTAGATCTAGAATGATAATTCAAGGATTATTTTTTACCTACAAACGATTTGCTAACGATTGGCAAGGTCAATTTGGTTCTACAAATGAAAATTAGGAAAGTCCGATGGTAACTTTTGCATATTATTTTCATTAATTATTAAAAAATCAAAGAAAGGCCTACAAACATTTTAATCACTATTACAATGTCATACAAATGGTCCTCACAATTCCTCTCTGCTGATCGAAAACAGCATACTAGGTGTGAGTACCAGTGTCTGCGCATGCGCCGATGCAAACACTATAGACCTTTTTTTAAATTAATTAAAATCTAATAAATAATTACGTGTAAAAGAATGAAATCAAGGTATTTATTATCTGCAAACGATTTGCTTCCTATTGGTTGATATTATTTCGGTCTACAAATAAAAATTAGTGGGGTGGGGTTCTAACTTCCGATCATTATTTTGTTTAATTAATTAAAAAATAATGAAGGGTCTACAAAATTTTTTGATTGTATTACAATGATGTACAAAGGTCCTACTATTGATCTAAATAAAAAAACTAATGAATTTTCAATAATGTGGTGCCAACTACCAGTCACCTCCATAAGCCCCATAAATTCCATCTCCCCTATAATCTCTGTCCAAATTTTCCCGTCCTTTCCAACCCTTTTCCAGATAGTGTCGTGCGATCACCAATAAAAACCTTGACCTCCGTAACCAGAAATAAATATTAACCCAATTTCCCACCCTCAGCCCCCGATTTTCCCGCGATTTTCAATTTTCCATCTCGCGCCGCCGGCGAGAACTTGTCCCCTGTTTTTGGCTACACATACCTTCCTATGTCATACACTACTCGACACCATTCAAGCCTGCGCAATAGAATCAGATAATGCGGGAAAAGTGACAGTCTCCCGGTTATATCAGTAAACCGTGGGTTAGGTGTAAACAGGTACTCTGCACGAAAACCAATTATTTTTCACTTGAATAATTAATGTTTATCAATAATGAACATTGTCAAATCTCTGGTACGACGTAACGTTGGATTTGGTGAGTTTAATTTCCACATGGGTATTATAAATAAATGAGCATTGGTGAATAGTTACAGACGGCATTTTTCGAGGTTATCTTCACTGAATCTTCGCGATTTATTCTTTGTATCAAAATCCATACATATTGAAAGCCGAGAATAAGAAATGATTGAAGCATAAATTATCTAATATTCCTTAGAATCGATTCGAGATTATGACCTGGCATTATTCCGACTTAAGTGCCACCAGGACGACATTTATCGAGGAATAACTCCAAACACAGACGCCCCAGACTTCAATCCAGAACCACCTGTATTCGCTTGCCGATTTTGTCCGAATCCGGGATATGAACAAATTCTTGCTCTTGCCAATGAGGATGGAAAAATTGCACTACAAGATATATTGGTCAAGGGAGAAGCCAACCAAGCTCTTGATGGAACGCAAGTAAGTCAACAAAGGCGAGAAATTAAAAGGACATGCTTTCTTATTGGTGTTCACTCTCAATTTTAGATGATTCACTATTGATTTTCTGTCCAGGAAATGGACTGCTTCATAACAAATAAATTATCACACATCTAGGTTCCTTCTTGAAAAAGCTAAATAGTTGAATTAAAAACCTCATTGCATCTGTCATTAAATTCTTCCAAGATTTCTCTGTATGTGCTTATTATCAAGATAATTCGATAATTTGTTAAGGTCCACATGAACTATTTATCGAATGTAATTGTTTTGATTCTATCTGATTAGCCTGAAATATACTAAAATGATCTAGGTGGATAGACATAGTGAATCTGCCCCCAACGAATTTCACGACGCCAATTCTTTGACATATTTATCAGCCAGAAAGATAATTCTGTGGACAATGTCAGATCTTTATCTTGCTTTTCTGATTTTTAATAATTAAAAAACCCGTACTTTCATTTTTATTTTTTTCCCATTCGAAAAATTCTTTTAAAAACCAGAAAAAATTCAAAAAATTAAAAACACTCGAATCTATAGAAATTTTGTTGTCATATTTTTTCCTTGCTAAATTCTATTTTTCATCACATAGTCTTTTTATTTCTTATTAACTTTGATGTGAACAGATTTTTCGACCACTCCGAGGAATTCTGAGATTATTGTACTCTCAATTCCTCTCAAATTGCAAAGAAATGTCACCACGTTTTGCCCGCAGCACATTTAAAAAACAATGAAAAATGCAAATTTTCACGTTTTTTTGTTCGGAATACCTGCAGAGATCATTCTTACAGGTTAATTCACTGTATCTATGTATATTATACCTATGCATAATTACAATTATTAGTGAATTAACCTGTAGGAATATTGTCTGCAAATATTTCAACGGAATTGAGAGTACAATCATCTCAAACTTTCGAGAGAAAAAGCTGTACGCATCAAAATTGACTAAAAAAAAAAGATTCAGTGATATAGAATAGAAATTAGCGAGGAAAAAATATGAAAAAATTATTTCCTATAACTTTGAAGTGTTTATGATTTTTTTAGAATTTTTCCAAATTTTAAAAACCTTTTTATTAATGAGGAAAAAAATTTTAAAATACGTTTTTTAATTAATAAAAATCGGAATCAAGATAAAAATCTGAAATTTTTTCCAGAAGTAAAAAAATTGGCGCCTTAGCTTAAAAATTAGCTGAGGGTAGATTCACCATGCCTCTCCGGCTAGACCCTTTGGAATCAAATTTATGTTGTGGGAACCACTCAAATAAAACGATAAGGAAAACAAAGATGAAAATTTATTGAAGGGCACTAAATTATGATATTGATTGAACGGGATCCACCATGTTTGCAAAAAAATACTCAAAAATAGGCAGCTTACCATTGGTCTTCACCGGACTAAGTGACAGCTAAATGCAATGGTAAGCTGCGCACTTTGTCACCTGGCTTATTATTAGGGTGAATTCATCTAGGAAGGGGATTGAAATTCTCAACAATGATTTTCGTCTGGAGATTATAGTGAAATAATTGATTTCTTCCACTCACTTCCCGTTTATGATGTTAATAAATTAATAAATTCTTCAGCTTCATTTGATTCATTTGTCCTTATTGGTTTATCTTACTTACAATTATATTCATCCATTCAATAATTCAATGATTCAGTTAGAAACTCTTATAATTGAATTTTCGAAAAAAGTTCCTCATTGAGAAAATGTATGTTTGTGATTTTAAAAAAGTTATTAAGAATATAAAAAAATAACCAATGGATTTGATGCTTTATCACGATATTCAGGTTCGATTTGAATTGCAACATTAGCATTTTGTCAGGAGAATTGCGCTAAGTCCACCGTCTAACTTCAAGTTCAATTCTCTCAAAACATTGTTTTTTGAGTTAACAACTTTAGACCTTTATAAATCCGGAAATTTTTGACTTCTAGTTATTTCAAGTTCTAATTGATCTCAAAATTTCCGGAATGTCACCAGGAATCGGCTCATGTAGCTAACTCGACATTGCTAACAAAGAATCATGTGGACTTCATTCGTAACATGCTACCCACCTAATTCGTGAATAAATTTATAGGCCCACTGTAACGCGATATTTGACATAGCCTGGATGCCGAACGAACTGAAACTAGTAACAGCTTCTGGAGACCAAACAGCCCGCCTCTGGGACGTCTCTACTCAGGATATAACTCAAATCGACTGCTTCAGTGCTCACAGTCGAAGCGTGAAAACCGTTGTATTTCGTCCCCAAGATAAAGCAGTTTTTGGGACAGGTGCTCGAGACGGAGCAATAATGGTCTGGGATATTCGAGCCTCACACAACGGCCAACGCCGCCCTGACAATTGCATCATGAACGGTCACGTCAGTGGCATCAAGTCCCGACACCGCGGTAATGAGGAATCCTCTCGAACCCAGAGCATAACAGGTCTCACTTTCCAGGACGACATGACACTGATCTCGGGCGCAGCAGGAGACGGCTTGATTAAAGTTTGGGATTTACGAAAAAATTACTCAGTACATAAGAAAGAACCCCAGCCCAAACACATTATGCAGTACACTGGAGGCAGCACTCGAAATGGCTTTACTTCGCTTCTCGTTGATCCGGGTGGAATAACACTTTATGCTTCGTGCATGGACAACAACATCTACGCTTATAACATATCCTCATATAACCCCAGACCTTGCAGTGAATTCTATGGCCACGAGAATTCTACATTCTACGTCAAGATCTGCCTGAGTCCCGATGGAAAATACCTGGCCAGTGGTTCAAGTGATGAACAGGCCTATATCTGGAAGACGAGCAAACCTGGGGGACCCCTAGTAAAACTCTCTGGACACACAAAAGAAGTGACTTGTGTCGCTTGGTGCAATGTTGGCGATCTAAAGATTGTCACGTGCTCTGATGACAGCTGCCACAGAATCTGGAGGGTTGGCCTGGAACACAAGAGTGACAACGATGATATGGAAATTATTGGAAGAGCTGAGAAAGTTGATGTTAATTCCACGAGGCAGTCTGTTCTCGAGACGACACCAACGGTTTCTAGGAGATGTGTTAGACAAGAGCATACCCCGTCTGATGGCACCCCAGGACCTGACACGGATCAAAGAATTCGGAATCTGAGCTCCGGCAAGAGAACAAGGACTCAGATGCTCGCTGGGGGCTCTTGGACTGATCCAAAATTAAAAACTGTTCTTTCTCCCATTGAGGAGAATTTGGAGCCATCTACGAAGCGGGTTAATCTTGAAAACAGAAGTGCTAGGAGATTATTCAGTCCTTCAAGCTCTAGGGCTACTGAAGCTGGACCTTCCTTCGACACAACTCTTTTCTCTCCCACTTTAAATCTACCTAATTTCGTTATTGATGGGACTGCTCCACATCTTGTTCAAATGTCCCCGCAGAAATGCAAGGAGAATGTGGATTGGTTGACGAAAATAAGAAAGGAGAGGTTTGAGCAGCGGAGTAAACCCGAAGACAAGGTACAGAGCCCGGTGGCACAGCTTACCCCAGCCAGAAGAAGCACCAGGTCCAAGTCTGCCGAGCCCAGGAGGGTCAAAGGACCTTCAGTGTCATTGTTAAATTTTTTTAGGCTGGGAAGAGAGTGCGATAAGGATGTGTGCGGGGAAGGGAGTGGTGTGAGGTCTCAGAGACGAGATTCTGTGGATTAAGAGGAAAGTTTGATGTAAGGAATGGTTGCAAGGGGTTTGATCAGTTCAGGATGGCTTTATTAAGGATCATACTGATTTCGCCAGGGAGAGAAGGGGCATTTGACAAATTCATACCGAAATGGTGAAATGACATGAGACAATTTCATTTAGATTTTAGTTTATACTCGATATTCAGGGAGTGAACGTAATCGGGTTATTTTCCGGGACCAGTCTTTTACAGTTTCCATTCTTTTAAGCCACTGAAACTTCAAGTAATTTGCTTTCCTTAATTCAGTGAAATTGGAAATATCGAAAAATCAAAAACGTGATGGGAGCATGAGATTATTTTGGCGATGACAGGTTTTTGGAGAAATTATTTTTGTGTTGAAAGTATGTCAGTTGTCAATGAGGTTGATTGCAACTTTCATATCACACATTGAAAAAATTGAATAAAAATTTCTAAGGCAGTTGTCAGGAAATTGCCCTAGTTTTTGACATAATTTTGGTTAGATAAATTTGGCATTTTTAATAATAAGAAAAGTTTTTGAAGTTTGTCACATTGCCTTTTACTTCCAGAAGAAAAATATAGAAAGTCCAAGCCAGAAAATGTCTACAAGCAGTATCTCCAAAGACATTTTTGAGAAAAACCTGAATCTGTTAATTTTTTCTATATAATATTTTAAACTCAATATTTGCGTATTTAAAAAGAGAAAAGCAGTCACGGATTTCTTTCAAGGAATTTGCGGAAAGACTTTTATTTAACAATGGGAGTCCAATTTTATATGATTTTTTTAAATTGATGAGTAACTCACGTTTGAAGCAATATTTGGTTGAGAGTTAGCTTTAAAGATGGAAATGTTAGCATGTCTTTGTCATAATTTCTGTATGCTTAGATGGATGAAGAAACTGAAGAATGGGCAAATGTTTTGATCGTTCATCAAATTCGAACATCACTTGGACATATTTTTATATTCCTATGCCACTGTTGCAGTTAATGGATAGTCTTTTCACTATTGTATGATACAATTTATTATGAGTATTCAACTGGCGAAAGATCTATAGATTGGAGGAATGGCGTAGAGAAGAAGTGAAACCTGAGAAGTGGAATCATCTAGGCAAAGAATAACAAGACAAAAATGTTAAGAAAAAAATTCTTAGAACATTCACAAAAACATATTTTGGTATGAACAAACAGATTCTTCCAAATAATTACACGATATCGGTTGAAGATTTCATTACAATCATTTCCTTCATTCTGCTTCTCATGATTTCTTTGGGTAGCCATATGACATATAATAAAAATTCGAAAATCCGAACAAAAGAACAGAAAAATATTAATTTGGGTTATTGCAATGACGTTTGTGACCGTGCAACTAACACGAGGAGTAAAAGTCATCAGCCACAGAAATAAAAAATGCTTGCATTCCGAAGCGAAAAAACGTCATTGCCATAAACCGCCAATCTACTATAATGTGTGTTAGACGTGAGCTCTTTTTTTAATTATATGTCTTTGGGGTACAGTTGGTAGTCACGCAGTGCCTTAGTATTAGCATCGCATATTCAATATGAGCCTCCATGGAATCGATCTTTTTATGAAAGCGCTTTCAACGTGTTTATTTCAACTTGTCAACTTTCAACTGTTATTCAAGTCAAGTATTTTTTACTCAGATGTAAATTATTTTTTGTACTTAAATTTTTATATAATTTGGAAATTGTATGGTCTACTTTCTTTCGTACCTTTTTCTTTAATATAATTAAGGTTTTGCTTTCCAGAATATTTTTCTCCAGATTAAAGTGCCCGTTATCAACTCCCACCATAAATATTAAATTCAGATCAAGGTGTGTGAATATCAAAATTTTCTCATTCAAAAATTTTGAAATTATGATATTTCCACCATTTTTTCCGAACCAGCGAATGCCTTCAAGAATGTAAAATTTACGGAAATATCTTCGAGGTTGAGTCGAGAAGATAGTACCTTCATGTTCAGGCCCTAATTATGTGCTGTAGTAGTGGTGGTAAATGATAAGTATTTTTTCCTAATTTTGTCAATTTTATGATTATTTCAATCTCAAATCGTTTTTTCGGAATTATTCCCAGAATCTTTTTGGTTTTACATATGGGGCATTCTCCGTCAACTCAGCCACCCATTTTCGTCATGGTCTTAGAAAATTCTGAAAAAATTCATGCTTGTTTCGATACTCGAAAAAGTTTTTTGTGAATTTTTTTCAGATTTTTCGGCTGACGGGCAAAGGGTGATTCAGTAGATTTTTCCGAATTAATTAC